GATTAGGCCTGACCTTGTAATCCCTAGTAAAGCTAGCAATTGACTGTTTACTCAGGATGTGACAAATCATCACCTTTAAGATAATAGTTAGTAGGTTATTGAGGTGGTCAAACTAATGTTGATATTGAGATTTCAAGTTGCTTGTCAACTGACTTATTATGTGGAAGGAAATGTTTATTTTACTCTTTAAATACTAAAATGCCCCTAACAATTTCCCATGAGAAAAGAATATTAGGCCACAATAAATTAAGCCATGCATGTCACAAGATTCAAGCATGATCGGTCCAATTACATTGGGTGATTATTTAGAAATGTATAATTTTTAATAATTAATGATAAAAATATATCTTTTAAAAAAGCTCGTAATTTAATTTAATTTAATTTGCTCATATAATTATTTTTAAAATATAATATTTAATAAATTTAAAATTAAACACTTATAATCTTTTTTATTATTTTTGAATTACAATTTTTTTTAAAAAAAATGTAAATAATAAAAAAAATCTAAAAAACACCTTGTTCACCAACCGTGTACTTTATCTCTTTTAATGTGCGCAAATATTCTTTACTCGATTAATTAATTTGTTAAAGGACTTTACAAGATAAATAATTAAGATGAAATGTACAAAATAGAAAAAGGAAATTAAAACAGTACTAGTACTAGTCCAATGCGATTAAGTAATTTAGATTAATTTAGTATGAAACTGTGTGTAGATTGGTTGAAAATTAATATGTTTTTATGGCTATAATTAAGCCATCATCGTTTCCTAGACCAAAATTGAGTACGGAGTAAAAAATGAGAACAAGAGGAGATATGAGTAGAGAAGGTAAAAAAATTTGAAACCGATGAGTTTTGATTGATTCGGGTTTTTAAGGTTTTTTTTTTTTAAATTGAATATCGAATCGAATTGGATGATATAAAAAAATAATAAATTATATATTTAATTTTATATTTATATTAAAAATAATATTTTATTAATTTTAAATCGAATCGAGTACAATTTTATATAATATCATATTGAATCGAGTTTTGATATAAAAATAATAAAATATTTATCAAATTAGATTCAAATTTTATATATTTAAAATCAAATCGAATTTAAAATGAACAAAAATCTATCTCAATTTAATCTATTGTATACGAGCGATGCGTGGGATTAAAAAGGTAGTTTGGTTGAGACTTCTAATACAATGGACATAAGCCATTGCATTGGCCGTGAAAGACTCGTTTAATGAATTTTTAAAAAAATTAACAAAGTTGTCATAAATTGTCAATGGTTTGAAGAGAGAAAATGGGTAGTATGAAAAAGAAAAGAAAACCTCTTTTAAGTATTGTTTGATATTATTTTTAAGATTATAATTATGATTATAATTATGATCTAATTATTATAATAATAAGATTATTAAAATAATTTGATAATGAATAATTTTAAATTATCATATTTGATATAATATTATAAATTATTAGTGTTTTTAAATTATTATATTTGATGTTATATAAAAAAATAAATCATATAATATAAAATATCTAAAATAATCTTGTAAAAAAGTAAAATATTTAATATTTATTAACTTAATAATTTATAAAATAATTAAATGTTATTTTATAAAAAAATTACAAAATATAAATAAATTTTGATAAAAATAATTTTTTTAAAAATTAGTAAATAAATTTCTTATATTTTTCTAATCAATATAAATTTATAATATAAAATTTTATTAGAATAAATTATTAAAAAATTGATTTTTTAAAATTTTTAGTGATTAACTTTTGGGATAATGTTAATTATAATTTTTTATAAATTAAACAAAAAATAATATTAAAAAAAATTTTATGATGATAAATTTTTTTTTATCTTTTAAATCAAATCACTTCTTAGTCTCAGCTTAAAAAAAGAGATTGCCAAGATAAATTATAGAAAGAGAAATAGAAAAAAAAAAAAAAAAGGAAATGAGGTTTTAATCCACGTCATTAAAAATGGTTTATGTAATCAATGAAAGTTTATCCATGTCAACCAATCAGTGCTACCCATTATAGTCAACTAACACGTCATTAACGTTAATGAAAAAAATTGAACACCCTTTATTATTGGATGAAAATTCAAAAGCATGAATAGTAGGGGCACTTGCCAAAATTAATGTAAAAAAAGACTAGGTACGTATTGTAATTGAAGTATAGAGAGTACAACTTGACCAAAATAAAAAGAACCCTACTTTACTTGCCATTCACTTTCCCCCATTTGGTTAATATCTTTGGTTCATACTTGATACTTTCGTTGTTATTTAACTTCAACCCTGTTTCTCCATATTATATCTTGGAAAAAAAAAAGATTAAAGCATATTTCTTTTTTTTTTTTTTTTTGAATTCCACTCCTCTTTGGGCCCAATAGTCGTCATCTTTAGGCTAAATTATAATTTTATGTCAAATGGAAAAGAAATAAACAAAACTATAGATTTTTTTTTTTTTTAATCTTTTTGAGTGTGTGGGAGTGCGTTTGATTAGTTAGATGATGAGATTAATTTAAGTTGTGCAAGCCAAACAGAAAAAAAGATTAAAAAGATGACCCACAAATACCATATCCGCCCATACAATACCTACAAATTCGGCATCCCATTTCCAAACCAAAACCTTTATCATCAAATCAAGAAAGCATAAATCGGTTATACCACCTCGGGAATACTAATACTAACACTAATAACAATACAAACAACAAAGCAAACCAAGCACCTTGATAACCTCCCACCCGTGGCGGTGCTCTGGTCCCCACCACCCTACCAGATAGACACAGGCACAGCTTAGCAGCTAATGAACCAAATTATTCTTCCTTTATCTATTTTAATAAAGCTATAAAATTGTCCATATATCAATTTGAATATATTAAATTAATTAAAATTAAAACTAAATAACTCTGTTCTACCCAACCATCTAATTAAATCACCACAAAATGAAAATAAAAAGGATAAACCAGAAAATAAATAAATAAATAAAAAGAAATCCAAGGCAAAAGTGCTGTTAACTATTTTGTATAGACTACTATTGGTTAGTGTTTTGTAACCTTGGTCCAATGATTTTGAGCTCAAATTTCTTGACAGACCCAGCAACATCCCTCAAGGTTGTGTCCAAAACATAAGGGGTTTTTTAAAAGTTGATCTCAGTGGAATTGGTTAGGGGTTTTTTCAAGGTTGTGTCCAAAACAAAAATAAAATGATTTTTTTCAGGTTTCAAGATTTAGTTCAACCATTGAAACAGATCAATTTTGATCAAAATAATCTTAAGTTACAACCACTAATCTAACGACTTTTTGACATATTTGCAGAAAAATTTTCAACCCTTTTAACTAACCAGAATTGACATTGGCATGTGGATATAACAACGAGACTCATTGAGGCCAATAAATTAAAACAGTTAACCAACTTTGACACTGATTCGATTTTTCTCAGATTAATGCAATAAATCCCATTCATTGTTGTCGATTCATGCATGTTGACTCCACTTGTTCTTGTTGGTTTTGTGGTGGTTTTCAATAAAGGATACTGATCAAATTGTGTTAAAAAAAAAAAATGGAAAGATTCTGATAGTAGTGGTTCAGGTAAAGGGGAAAGAATAAAATTTTCATGGGAAAAACGTAGGGGGTACCCTGGAGATTGAGCTGCCCATATATATATATATATATATAATTTGCTCTTGAGTGTAGCAGAAGGCATTGTAAAAGTCACAGGAGGACAGCAAGGTTTGGTTACTCTTCACCATTTGTAGTCCAAGCGCGGTGGGGTTGGTTGATGTCATGGAGTTTCGATTGGTTAAGACTCAAGTGTGAAGCTAACATCAAAACCTGAAAATTTTCCAGAATCGTCATTAGTTATAAGAATGATTTTGGGAAATTCCATTTCATGTTCTTAACATCTTTGGAATTCCATTGGTAATGATGGCTACTCAGAGGCTCAATGACCAAAAAGGCTAAGGAAGAGGAAAATGAGGAAGTTGTTTTTAATTAGCTAGTAATCTAAGAATTAAGCCCTTAAGTTTAGGCATGTATATCACTGCAAAAATCTGGATACCATAACAGCTTGAAATGCATCAAAATAAAAGCTTACTTCATTTTATGTGATTTGAATTTTATAAATATGGTGATATGGTCTGAGATTAATGTTAATCTTGGTATGATTAACATATTGAAAAGCAGAAATAAGGTTTTTTGCACAAATTTTAAAGTTTTTAATTTAAGCAAAACATATTGAAAAGTAGATTCTATTTATTATTGTGTAATAATTTTTTACTTTCAATAATTCATACAATCCTAAGGAGAATTATATTTTTTACTTTCATTTTTAGATTTAACTTTTTACTTAATTTCATTTTTTATTTCCAATTAATAAAAAAATTTGTTTATTTATCTCTTTTACTTTAAAACTTATAATTTATTTAATAAAATTACAGCACTCATACATTGATTTGTTTAAAACTGACAATTTACAGCACTAAGCAAAATAGACTTACTCATACATAGTTTCTTAAGAAGTTCTATTCCAGGGTCAAACTGACAGCTCCAACGAAGAGAAATACATACAATTAAAGGCAACTATAACCGTAGACTTAAAAGAATTAGCAGCCATTCTTTTGTCATTAGACTACTTATATATAAAGGCCATTCTGGCCGTAACATTATGGCTTGTGCACGTTTTTGAAAGCCATTAAGATTCAAGGATCCCCAACTATAATTTTGTGACGAAAAATCCGTGACTTTGCAACCCCCCAATAAAACAAAAACTTTGTCCAAGCAGAGAATCCATTGATTTCTTCTCTTTTCCCTTTTGCTTTCAGAAAATTTAACATTGTCAAGCTCACTGGATTTCCTTTCCTTTTATGGTGAGTCTTGAAAACTCGTTTGATTTCCTTACAGTTTCTAGGATTCTTCTACTTAATGTTCTGAAAGCATGAGAATTCTTCTACTTTATTCTGAAGAATTTCCAGTCTTTACAGCTTCATTCCATCGAGACAAATGGAGATGGTGGCAAACAGGAGCCACTTAAGAAAGCTTGTTTTATGGCTAATAATGATCGTTGAGTTATTACTCTTTCTCTCAGCTTGCTATGCAGAAATCGCAGCCAGGTTCTTTCTTTACTCTTCCTCATTTCCCCATATTTTTGCTCTGTTCTTTCTCTGCATGCGCCCTCTCTGCTTATGGGATAAAACGAAACAGAGAGAGAGAGAGAGAGAGAGAGAGAGAGAGAGAGAGAGAGAGAGAAAGAGAAAGAGATTGCATTGCTTGTAAGACAGTCGATGAGTCCGCATGCTGTTGCTTTATGGCGCACCAAGTTAGGAGCTAGGCTTTGATAGACTAAAATAATCCAAGTTATGGCTTGAAAATTATTTCTGTTTGTAGCTCCGTGTCTTCTTTTTCTTCATCTCTTTCAATTTTTTTTTCTCTCTCTCAACAGTTGGTTCGGCCTATTGAATGGTTTGCGACACCATGACTTTTACACACTCAACCTAAAGCACATGGCATGATTGAATTGTGACCCGTGACCATAAGTTCTAATAAGAGTTGGTATCCCATACTTAGAACCTCCTAATCTTCTCCGTGCCTGTGGCAATGCTTTTTGGGTGTCAATTAGATTCTCTCGAACCTCCTTTTTTGTTAACATCAACATGTGAGTGCATGGTTTTACCTTTTTCTTTTTTTTTTTTTTTGTCTTTGGCATCAAAATTCTCAGGGTAGTTATATCTGTCAAATAGAGGTTTAAAGTTCAAATTCTGGATTTTTTTCATTTTAGTATTAAGTGTTTAAGTTTGTTTATTAATAAAAGTTATCTTTTCATGGACAAATTAAATATCTGTAATAACTATAGGACAATTACAAAACCAACACACATTCTTGGATGTTTGAATTGCAGAAAAATCCTGAAGGATGGAAATAGTAACCCTCTCGAAGTCGGGTTGCAAACAAGTGATAATTACGAAGTAAGATCACATTCCCCCTTTTACAAGGTTGTAATTTTAGTATGGTCAATGGTGATGGAAAGAAAAATAATTCACTTTGCTTTCCATTGTAACAAATTATGAAAATTTCCAAACTTCTGATTCTTAAATGTATGATTCTTTTTGTTTTTGGTAAATAGTAAGGGAATGCATGGTTCTCAAAACATAAATCCTAATTGATTATCAAATGAACTATTTCAGGTAGTTATTGATAATGGACTTGTTGAAGTCACTATCGAAAATCCATCTGGTTATTTGACAGGAATAAAATATAAGGGACTTGATAATGTGCTTGAAAGCAGAAACCAAAACTCTAATAAAGGGTATGCACTTTTTCAGGTTTCCAATTTTTGGAAAACCATGTTCTCCATTGCTCACAATTTTCTTTTTGGGGATAAAAAATGGAATGTATTCTAGGTACTGGGACATTGTCTGGGATAACGGTGCCTATGACAAGTAAGTTTTTCACCCTTTCTACAGTAATGATTTCATGAATACCTGTCATTTCTTTGATTGACTCTAGTGTTTGCATGCTACTGCAGAATAGCAACAAATCATGTTAAGATCATAACACTAACTGATGACTTAGTAGAGCTTTCCTTTACCAAAATATGGAATTTTTCAACAGACCATGGCAAGTCAGTTCCCTTAAACATTGACAAAAGGTATGCAATTATTACTTAAAAAAAAAAAAAAACCTTAATGTTTTCCAAGATTGAATTTGCAGCTTGAAAGAACAAATTTTGATGGCCTTTGCGCTTATTTTAACATTCTTCCAGGTTCATAGTCCGGCGAGGCGTTCCGGGGCTCTATATGTATGGTATTTTTGAGCGCCAGGAGGATTTTCCGGATGCTCATATGTACCAAATAAGGACTGTTTTCAAGCTTAATGAAGACAAGTAAAACAAAGATGAATCCTTGATAACTATCATAAGATCAGTTTTTGCCTAAACAGTCAGGAAACAATTAATGTCAATTGTCAATGTTTCATGTGACATTTTCAATCAGGTTTCGATTCATGGCGATATCAGACACCAGACAAAGGGCCATGCCTAGGGGAGAAGATCGAGATAATACTCGCAGTCAGACTCTTGCCTTCAAAGAAGCTGTTCTATTGACCAATCCATCCAATCCACAATTTAGAGGAGAGGTATGTTGCTTTTGGTTGTAAAGAAGGATTCTTAAGGAATATTTTCCTTTTAGGCATTGAAAAAACATGGCTTCTTTTTGTCTGTATCTCTATTTTTCTTTTTTTTCTTTTTTTTTTTGGAGTATACTTAGAGTACTAGCATATTCAAGTCCCGTGATAATATAATGTGGGGCGCAGGTAGACGACAAGTACCAATATTCTATTGAGAACAAAGACAACAAGCTACATGGGTGGATATCCGATGATGAAGCCGTGGGGTTCTGGGTAATCACCCCCAGTAATGAGTTCAGAACTGGTGGCCCACACAAGCAGGATCTCACTTCACATGTTGGTCCCACTGCTCTCTCCGTAAGTCTATTTATGAGCTAACACATACATACATACAAATATATATATATATATATTTATATTTATATAAATAAAAAAGAGGTTCCATTCAGCTTCAAATGTTTGTCTAAAATTTGATTGTTTTCATGATTTAGATGTTCGTTAGTACTCATTATACCGGAACCGATATAGACACAGCATATGGGAAAGGAGAGGCTTGGAAAAAGGTTCTTGGTCCTGTTTTTATCTATCTTAATTCTGCTTCTTCCGATGATGATTTCCGCAAGATACTCTGGAATGATGCCAAAAGACAGGTTTGTCAACTGCTAGCTCATTTAACATCCTAAATTATATTGACCAACAAACTCATTTAACACTTTTTGTGTAACATTAGTTGAGTGAAGAAATTGAAAGCTGGCCGTACAATTTCACTCGATCAGAAGATTTTCCTCATGCTGAACAACGAGGAGAAGTTAGCGGTCAATTGCTAGTGCGAGACCGGTATTTGTTTAGCTGCCTTCACGGTCATTTTTATCTTCCGTTTTGTCATGTTCATCTAATTAATTTACTCGGTTCAGATACATAGATAAAGAGTTAGTGCAGGCACAATCAGCCTTTGTGGGGTTGGCAGCGCCTGGATATGCAGGATCGTGGCAAACAGAAGGAAAGGTTAATATTGCTAAAAAAGTTGCATCTCAGCTATAGACACATATCAAGATTCATGTCTGGTTTTTGTTGTCTTCTTTTCTGATTCCAGGGCTATCAATTCTGGACTCAAGCAGATAAGACTGGCCGTTTCGATGTAAAAAATGTCCGACCAGGGGAGTATAATTTGTATGCATGGGTCTATGGTTTCATTGGAGACTACAAATTAGATCTCAACATCACTATCCAACCAGGTAAAATTAATCTCCAAATTAATGTACTTCTTGGGCCTTTTGGTTCGAAGAAATTAGATCTTTTTTTAGGCTTTCTGGCCCATTTTCATTTATAAACATTTTTCTGAATGTAGGAAACAAGATCAACTTGGGTACCCTTGTATATGATCCTCCAAGAAATGGCCCTACATTGTGGGAAATCGGGATACCTGACCGGACAGCTGCCGAGTTCTTCATACCGGACCCATACCCAACACTTGCGAACTCATTGTGCATCGATGAGGCGGACAAGTAAGCTCTAACTACATGGTCACACCTTTGTGCTTAAGATTTCAACACAGATTTCATCAGCTCAAAATTATGTTTTACAATGAACAGATTTAGACAATACGGATTGTGGGAACGTTACTCAGATATTTATCATCGCGGTGATCTTGTCTACACTTTGGGCGTTAGCAATTATTCTCAGGATTGGTTCTTTGCTCATGTTCTCAGGTGCCAATTTCATCTTACTAATTCCTGAAATCCTTGAATATTTTTCAGGGTGTTCAACTGTTTCGCGCTAATATTTTCATTACAGGAATGTGGGAAACAGTACATACCGGCCAACCACATGGCAGATTAAATACAATCTCGAAGATGTGAACGAGACAGGAAATTACACTCTCCAAGTCGCCTTGGCTGCATCATCTAATGCTGAATTACAGGTATAAATCTCAGCTAACATCCTCAGCCATCATTTATCAGGGGAGGGGTCGTGTTTTCACTTACTGCTTTTCTGATGAATCCTCTACCAATTCATTCATAGGTTCGATTCAACAATCCAGAAGCTGTTTTACCTTATTTTACAACGACGAGAATAGGTTACGATAATTCGGTAGCAAGGCATGGAATTCATGGATTGTACAGATTGTATGGTATTGATGTACCTGGTAATATATTGCAGAAAGGGGACAACACAATCTTTCTAACTCAGACAAGAAGCCAGGGCTTATTCAACGCAGTTATGTATGACTACATTCGATTAGAAGGACCTACAGTTTAACCAATTACTCAAGTAAAAATAGAAGATGGTTTGTAGCATTCTTTAAGGTTGTAATGATCATAGGCGTGGGTATAGCGAATTTTGGTTCAAGCCTGATTATGGCTAAAATGCATCGTTTGGTAGTAAAATGAGAAAGCAAATATTTGTTTCACTAGATGTTGCTATGAAAGTCCTTTTTTTGAATTCTTTGATTTTGGAAACTATCCAATTGTCCCAATTGCAAGATAGACCACCATTCTTCCTGAATTGGAGGGAACATTCCAAGACATAGTTAATTAATTAAAAAGAAAATTACCTTAAAACACGCCAAATAAACCAGCTTAAAAAAAATCCCATATAGCACAAAACCAACTTTCAACAAAAGCTGGAAGTTCATAGTTCAGCGTTAAGAGGGAAGGCAAAGAGAGACAGGGATCTAGGCATCTTGTACTAGGGATGGCAACAAGTCATATTGGAGTAAATTTTTATTTGTCTCAAATTTGATCTGATTTTATACACATAATATTCAAATTTGATGCAATGTGATTTTTTTTTATCCAAATTCGATCCAATCTGATTCGAAATTAATAAAATATCATTTTTAATATAAATATAAAATTAAATATATATAATTAAATAATTAATTAAAAATAATTTTTTATATATACCAAGTTGAGACGAAGAGAGTTTGCCTAAAATTTGACTCGACTCTAACTTTGTTTATTAATTACCCAAATCAAAAACTTGATTTAAAATAAAAAAAAACACGAATCCTAAAAGATCAAGTCAAAATTTGTCGAGAATAGGTTGGACCGCTATTCAAATCTTGGACCTTAATTAATCTTCTCTCCTTACAGTAAACCTATTTGTTCATGTTGCAAAAAAATATATTTATCGCAAATTAAAGTATCAAGAGTAAAATTTTGAATACACCTATCTAATGTAAAAAAAAAAAAAAAAATGTGTCTTTAAAATTATCCAAAAATTAAATTCAAACAAAACTTAAGATTTATCTGACCTTACTATAAACAATTATCACATTTTTTTTTTCATTTGCCACATTTATTGCATGCATGATATATGCATATGCCTTAAAAAGTTTTAATAATCAAAATTTGATATTAATTAGAAAGAGGAGATGTTCACTTAATCATGAATTTAATTTTGATTTAAAGGTAAAAAAATGTAAAACTAACATTATTGTAAGTGGATTCCTAATATTAAAAAAATGATAAAATTGGTTAAAAAATGAAATAGTTCAATTGAATTTCTCATTTTATATAATCAATAAAATACGATATATATGTATACATATTGTTCTTAAAATTACCATAATTTTTTTTTACTGATTCTTTTTAATTTAGGATTAGTACTAATTGTTTTCCTAATAATTCAATTTCAATTTTTCTTAATGAAATTATAAATGTAAAAGAAGTTACAATTATAATCAAAGATTATATCAGTATATAAAAAATCATTAAATTAATTAATAAATTAAAACATAATTAAATAAATCTAAGATAATATTAAATCAAACTTACATGTAATAAAACTTATACTAAAACTCAATTTCAAGTTTTTATTTGGTAATTGGGCGGAGGGATCCAAATTGGAAATGTTTGTTGGAAATATTGACTCAAATCTCATAAGAGATTTGTTTGAGATTTGTTAGAGATTTGTCAAATATTGCTTGATGGACAAGAAGACTTGCAAAAGAAGAATTCCAAGAGAAAAAAGATTCTTAATAAGTAAATTTGACTTGCAAGAGAAGAATTCTAAAAGGAAAGGGATTCTTAATAGGCAAGTTTTACTTACAGGAGAAGAATTCTAAGAGGATATAAATAGGTGAAGTCTCTATAGGATTAGGTATGAGAAAAAAGATGTAAGAGAGTTGTAGGGTTTTGTGGGATAGACACCCCATAGAAGTATTGGGGCTCTACGTCTTATAGGTGTATATGTTTGTTTGTGAGTGAACTAGAAGAGACTGAGAGGGTCCACATAGGTATGATGTATGTGAGCATATGGGTATGTGTTTGGTTATATTGAAAGAGTGCACAAAGGTTTGGGTTTATGTTTATTTGGGTTGAAAATACTCTATAGGACTAAAAGAGATTGAGAGTATCTTATGAGTATTGATTGTTAAGTGAAGTTAATGATTTGATTTATGTTTGTAATTCTTTACAACTAGTGGATCTTGTTTCTCATTCGTGGATATAGGTCAATTGGACCGAACCACGTTAAATTGTTATCTCTTATGTGTTTGATTTATTATTTGATTTTATTTCTATTGATGTGATTGAATTTGAGGCTTTTAGCCCAACAATGTTGACCTGACTTCCCCTTTTTAAACGCATGCAAAGCATGCCAACAATTGGGCGTTACCTCAGCCACAAAATAAACACACCTTCTTTTCATCATCAAAATTTGCCAAAGTTGATAAATTAATCTTTTAACTTAGGGAAAATAGATATTATGTATAAGTTTACGCATTGTTACCCCTAATCATCCCCTAATCATTTAGTTAATTTTCATACTTATCAAATCAATATACTCTTGACTATTACGTAACTACCAAAGAGAATCGACAATAAATCTTTTGCAGTCAGATGGTTCACTTTCTAAGAGTTGTTCCTTAACCTAGGGTTTATCACTTATGCGAAGTAGCTTGTTTGATATTCCCACTAACATCTCATCAAAATATTATTTTATAATAATTTAATTTATTTAAAATCATTAAATACATTTTATTTCAATTCACGTGAATTGTTTTTTAAATTTCATATGAGTTTTTTTATTAATTATCATTTATGTTATGTCACTGCTTCATGCCTTAAATATAAAGTAAAAAGAGATTTGGATACACAGTTCTGAATCTTTCAGCCTTAAGTTTTTTTAATACTCTATGCAACTTATTTTCTTTATTCAAAATTCTAACCTCTCTAAAATTAAATTTCAATGTCTCTTGATTATACTTTTCTTGTTGCTCGCTCGAATCATTTTTAATTTATTTTCCAAATCATTTTCCAACTCATTTCTATCTAAAATATCTACAGTCATATATATATATATATGAATTAAAATTTAAATATTTGAATTAATATATATTAATTAACCATTGTATGTTGCACATCCCATCAACAACCAATCCTTCGTACTCTTAGATATGAACCCAAACACCAAGCCCGTGTTTGATTTGGTAGGGGAAATGATCATGCGCGAACCAAACATGCCGCAAAATGATTTTTCCAATCACCCACCACCCCAATTGCTGCCTCACCAATTTTTTCATCAAAAACCTTTTGTCACATTTATCATAAAAAAAAAAAAAAACCTTTATCATAAATTAATATATATATATACATATACATAATAATTTTTTAAAAAAATTTGAATATATGAATTTTTATTTTAAAAAATTACTCTTTGAATAAAATCACGTATCAATCAAGTAAATCAAATACTTAATTGCATTAGAATATGATTTTAAAATAAAAAAAACATAGTACTTATTATTAAATAAAATATTAAAATATGTCAAAACTTTATTTTTAGATATCGATGGCGAGGGTGAAAGGACAACATACTAAATATATATCAAAATTTTCTTTTGACAAGATGTATGACAAATTTAAGTTCCACGGAGAAGATTTTGATTAACCGACAATTCCAGCGAGCGCTAGGTGTCGCTTGCATTACCACATGGAGGTCACCAAATTTCTCACGAGCCTTAGCGACTACAGAAACTAAAACAAAAATGGACTCTGCATATACGTCTAGGACTGAATAAGGTGCTTTTCCATGCGTTGCACGACAACACAACCTTGTCACCAAAAAAAAAAAAAAACAATATTTGCCAGACTTTTTTTTTTGTTTTAGTAGTTTCTCTTGCAAAAGTTGTAAATTGGAAAATCTTCGCTCAAAAGAAAAATGTTACATTAACGGCTTTTCTTATTTTCTAGGGCTATTAATTGTTGTTAAAATCATAAAATTACTGGAAAAAAAAAAGAAGATTTCGGTAAATCTTATTAATTTGATTTTAATGAAACAGAGTAATCGTTTTTTTTTTTTTTTTATGAGCAACAATCATAAATATTTTTTATTGGTACAAGGGGAAACTGAAGCATAGAGAAAGAAAAAGAGGAATTGCAATTTCAATTTCAATTTTAGAAAAAAAACAAGAACTTTTAGAAAATATGAATAAATCATTTGAATTAAATATTTAATGTACATACAAATAATCTTATAATATAGTCATAAGATTAGTTATCATTACATCTTAAAAAAATAGGAGTAAAATTTATGATACATAGTATTATCGTGAAAAGTAACTCGCTTGTACAAGGGATTATTCATTCAATTAGTTTATTTATCTTGACATAACAATCTTAATTACTTCAAGCATAAGTGACTACTCATTGATACTATTCAGAATGTAAATCTCTTGATAAAATTGTTCATTTACACTATGAGGTGAGAGATTAGAGCAACTTAATTATCTCTTTTATTTTTTACCAAAAATATCCAACTCAATATTAATTAGGTAGGAAAACAGTGCAATTAATTCTTAACATAATAAGCATGCATGAACTCGGTTTTCCCTTTATTGTCATATATAATCTCATAGCTATGCATGTGAACATATTATATATTTTTTCTTTTTTTTTTTTTGGGGGGGGGGGTGGGTGGGGGGTGTAAGTGGATCAGTGTCAACCTTAATGTAAAAATTTCATGGCAAAGGATTGAGTAAATGGTCCCCCTAATGACTCATTTAGCTCCTATATATATGAAGCCTAGCCTATTATAAATTGCATTGTCAAGTGTCAAGTAATTACGCATGCAATATCTCTGGTTGAGGGTTCTCCTCAGTACTTTCTTGGTGTTCTTTGGCTCTGTTTTTGGTTCCTAAAGTTGTTGTGTAAGTGAAGTGATCGAAAAATAAGATTATGAGCAGTTTACCTGAAAAACAGCACCCCAAGGAAGCTTTTGGATGGGCAGCTAGAGACACTTCTGGCCACCTTTCCCCCTTCAAATTCTCCAGAAGGTTTTCAATTCTATACATATCCTTCAAGAACGTTCTTCCTTTCTTTGCTCTTCTTAGTAAAGAAAAAGAATTAATTTTATTAATACAAACCAATTTGAAAACATTTGGAATTACTCTTTATAGTCTGAAAATAAAAGAAGAGATTATAGGTGCTAGGATTTGAATACTAAACCTACTAAATGATATCTCTTAAAGATCATTGTACGAAGTAATTAAATTAAACACTTGATTCTAATTTTCTATGGTTGTTGTCTTTCAATAAATATGAAATGGATTGGTTGCAGGGCAACAGGAGAAAAGGATGTGGCTTTCAAGGTGCTTTATTGTGGGATATGCCATTCTGATCTTCATTTTATCAAGAATGATTGGGGCAATTCCATCTACCCTCTTGTCCCTGGGTATGTAAATATATATCCTTCTAACTTTATTTGATAAATAAGAAAAAGGAAAAGAAAATAACGATCGATGTGAAATTATAAGAATCATTCCTTTGGCTGTTTTTTTTGGTAAATAATCAAATTTTGACTAATTAGAGATAATATATACACAACTTATTAATAGTCCAAATTGCATCTAAAAGAAAATACAGAGACATGAATAAATAGTGAAAATTTCTGGATGCAGGCATGAGATTGTTGGCGAAGTGACAGAGGTAGGAAGCAAGGTAGAAAAGTTCAAAGTTGGAGAGAGAGTCGGAGTTGGATGCATGGTTGGATCGTGCCGCTCCTGTGACAACTGTGCTAACAATCTCGAGAACTACTGCCCACAAATGATATTAACATATGCAGGAAATTACTACGATGGAAGTATCACATATGGAGGCTACTCTAGCACCATGGTTGCTGATGAGCACTTCATCGTCCGAATTCCCGATAATCTACCTCTTGATACTACCGCTCCCCTTCTCTGTGCCGGAATCACAGTTTATAGTGCATTGAGATATTATGGACTTGATAGGCCTGGTTCACATGTGGGTGTGGTTGGCCTTGGTGGGCTTGGTCATTTGGCTGTGAAATTTGCCAAGGCTATGGGAGCCAAGGTAACAGTAATCAGTACCTCTCCTAACAAAAAGAAGGAAGCTATTGATAATCTTGGTGCTGATTCCTTTTTGATTAGCCGAGAGCAGGATCAGATGCAGGTTTGGTTTTGAATTTCATCTTTAATATTGTCTGGTTAATTATTTATGAGGATTGTTGGGTTTAATGGCTAATTTTTAATGTCACTGAGTTGATGTATTAGGCTGCCATGGGCACAATGGATGGTATCCTCGATACGGTATCTGCTCTACACCTTCTGCCGCCATTGATTGGTTTATTGAAGTCTCATTCAAATCTTATTGTGGTTGGTATTCCGGACAAGCCACTTGAACTACCAGTCCTCCCTTTGGTCCTTGGTAAGCATGTGAAATTACTGATTCAATTACATTTTTAAAATTTTGCTTCATTGTTCAACATGAAAATTATCATTTGACCAATGACCAAGAAGCTAATGAGCATTGCAAACGACAGGGAGGAAGGCAGTGGCAGCAAGCTGTGTTGGGGGGATGAAGGAGACTCAAGAGATGATTAATTTTGCAGCCAAACATGATATAAAATCGGAAATTGAAGTTATACCTGTTTACTATGTGAACACTGCCATGGAACGCCTTGCCAAAGCAGATGTCAAATACCGATTTGTCATTGACATTGGGAACACATTGAAGGATATCTCTTAACATATATATTGGCTCACTAGTAGAGTTGCAATAAATTCTTATCCTCAATTATTTCCTCGTTTTTAAAGCTTTGATGGTAAAGTACTGCTGATCAAGTAATATTTATTGTACCTAGAGATGTGGATTGTTTTAGATAAAATAAAGTTGTTCTATTTGTTTATAGAACATAATATTGTTAAACCACGAATTTATGGATATTTAGCAAAAAAAAAAAAAAAACAAAAGACCATGAATTTGAGGCTGTTGTGTTTGATTCAAGTAAACAAAAGTATGATCCTTTTATATTCTTTATTTTTATTCTTATTTTAACCTCATTAATTTACTGGCTAAAAAATCTTACTTTAATGTTTGATTGAAAATTATTTTACGACAAAAAATTTGCAATAATTAGAAAATTATTGTCGATCAAATTATCCTAAAAAATTAGGATGTTGTAGATGGATTGGCTACCCTGCATGGTCCTGGTCTTACAGTGATAGATAAACTAGACTAGGGTAATGTAAAACACAACTAGAAATGGATAAGTTATGACTATAGTTATATATTCTCTTAGTTCAATATTCTAAGATTTCAAATTTGAATCACAATTCTACTTAAAAAAAAAAAAACCATAAAAAATAATATGATAGGTTAATGAAATATAATTTTCATAAAAGATTTGAACACATAGTAATAATTAAATGCGAGCACGCTTAATTTAATATTTTAGGTAAAATTCTCTTCAAAATAATATTTGAGGTAAAATTAAATAATTTCCTTTTAATATTAATAAATTCATAGAAAACAACAAGCACAAACTAATATTTTTCATTTAATTGGAAAAGCATTTTGCATCCATATATGATATGATAATGTAAAAATCTAATTTTATTTAAATAAATTAAAATAACTTTTAATTCATATTTATAATTTAAACATATTAAATTTAAGTCCAGTCGAGCATTTTAATCGAGTTTAATTTGTTTATCATATTCAATCAGGACTCTTTGCACATTTTCTGTGAAACAGAAATTGCGCAAAGACGTAGATACCCAATCAAGACTCAACTCAACATTTTCATTTTTTGTTTTTTATATTTTTTTTGTTTTTTTATTTTTTTGACCAAAGCTCCTCTAAGCAGAGGCTCAATGACTTTGAGAAACATAAATGGCTCCTCTAATCAGAGGCTCAACAACTTTGAAAAAATAAATTGCTCCTCTAAACAGAGGCACTGCGACTTTGGAAAGTAAATTGTTCCTCTAAATAGAGACACCACGACTTTTGAAAAAGTAAATTGCTCCTCTAAACAGAGGCACCACGACTTTAAAAAAGTAAATTACTCCTCTAAACAGAGGCACCACGACTTTTGAAAAAATAAATTGCTCCTTGACAATCATGTCCAAAGGAGTTGAAAGTTTTGTTTGAAAGAATTTCAGGAGATTATGCCCAAAGGTCTTATAAATCAACCCTGATACCAAAAGACATCCTATTTCAAGGATTAGGAACTTACCTGACAAGCTTTTTCTTTTTCAATTTTGTAAAATATCTTCATATCTGTCTTCTCTATGTGGGATGTTGGAACACCCTTGCTTCTTGAATTTATACACTATACTTTCCTGAAAGTAATGTATGCTATGCAAATGCATATGAATTTCAATGCATGCTATGCAAATGTTGGCCAATTAATTTCTGTTCAATGTATGGTACTCAAGTTTCTCAAGCTTTTCTTGGGCATCAAGCCTTTTGATTCTTCAGAGATCCAATTACACTGCTCTTCTAAGATCGAACTAGTGTAGCTCTTAATTGTTTCTTCCACTCATAATCTTTCTGTAAAAAAAAAAAAAAAAATCTCTTCCTAGATTCAATGTTTTAATCAGGAACTGAACATCTCGATTCTGCTTTTATCACTCTTGATTTATTCAATGTAATGTAAAAATATTTTTATGTTGTTATTCATTCATCAATCATTATTTCAAACTCAAAAAGTAAGAATGTATTTGCACATTTCTTCCATGGTGGGGTATTAAGAAGAAAGGAATATGAATGGTTAGGAAACAGTCATCAAAAAAAGGCATAAAGAATGAAATAAAATATTTTTTTATTAACAAAATGTTGGCAAACTTTGGCCAAGAAAGAATTACAAGGATAGGTATGGGGACAAAGCCCAAAATGAACAATCAGATAATTATGATAACACATCTCAAAGTTTTTTTTTTTAAAACTCAACCCTCTGATGTATTTAACAACTTGGAACTCTTCTGAATTTGTTAGCCTCCATATCAGCGGACTTTTAAATTCGATGCTGTATTCTCCTTATCTAAGCTGTCTTTTCAGGTTTTCAACTTAGATAAACCTCCTATGACTCAAACCGCCTTGTTAGGGTTTTCGCCTTGAGTCCTTATTTTTCATTCACTTTTTTTTTTTTCATTTTTTCATCATTTTTCATTTTTTTCATTTTTTATTTTTTCAAGCATAGTATTTCTTCACAGCATCAAAATTTATAGGATGGGGTAAATCATTTCCATCCATCTCAGTCAGTATCAACGCTCCACCCGAAAAAACCCGTCTCACCACATACGGTCTTTCCCAATTCGGAGTCCATTTTCTTCTACTATCGTGCTGGATTGAGAGAATTCTTTTCAAAACCAACTCTCCTTCTCGAAAGAATCGGGGCCGAATCTTCTTATCATGAGCCCTCATCATTCTTCTTTGATATAGCTGACCATGGCACAACGTAGTCAATCTCTTTTCTTCTATGAAATTTAACTGCTCATAACGTTCTCAAATCCATTCAGCTTCTTCCAACTCTACTTCTTTTAAGACTCTCAAAGAGGGGATCTCTACTTTCACTGGTAGTACAGCTTCCATCCCATAAACCAAAGAAAATGGGGTTGCCCCAGTAGAGGTGCGAACTGACGTTCGATATGCATGCAATGCAAATGACAACTTCTCATGCCAATCTTTGTAAGTCTCGATCATCTTCTCTAAAATCTTCTTTATGTTTTTATTGGCTGTCTCAACTGCCCTATTTATTTTTGAACAGTATGGTACCGAGTTATGATGGTTGATCTTGTATTGAACATATATTTCTTGCATCATCTTACTATTTAGATTCTTGGCATTGTCTGAAATAATTCTCTCCGGAAGTTCATATCTACAGATGATCTCTTTCTTTATGAACTTACAAACTACGAAGCGTGTCACATTTGCATATGATACTGCTTCTACCCATTTTGTGAAGTAATCTATCATCACAAAAATATATCTGTGCCTGTTAAAGGCTTTTGGGGTGATTGGACCAATGAGATCCATGCCCCACATTGAAAATGGCTATAGTGGTGCCATAACATGTAAAGCAGATGACAGAGCATGAATCTTATCAGCATATATCTGGCATTTATGGCATTTACGAGCATAATCAATGTAATCATTCTTCATCATCAACCAGTAATATTCTGCCCTCATGGTCTGCCTTGCCATCATATGTCCACTAGTATGTGCCCTACATATTCCATCATGCACCTCTTTAATGATTTTTTTTGCTTCAGTCTCATTTACGCACCTTAATAATACTTGATCCTTGCTTCTTTTGTACAGGACATCCCCATTCAGGAAAAAACTTCTAGCCAATCTTCGGATGATCCTTTTATCATTTTCTGTTGCTTGAACTGGATATTACTGATCTTTAATATACTGTAAGATGTCATAATACCAGGGTTTTCCATCTTATTCTCCTTCTACATTAGAGCAATAAGCTGGTATATCCTTAACATCTAACTTGATGAGTTGAATGTCGGTATTATTATTAATTCAAATCATCGCAGTCAGAGTAGCCAATGCGTCAGCAATCAAATTCTCTTCTCGAAGTAAGTGATCAAACTGGATATCTTCAAATTATTTTGCCAACTCTAGAATATACTTATGATATGGAACGAGTTTTGAATCTCTCGTCTTCCATTCTCCTTTCAACTGATATATAACTAGAGCCGAGTCTCCAAACACTTTTAGTACCTTCACTTTTTTATCTATAGCAGCTTGCAAGCTCATGACATATGCCTCATATTCAGCGATGTTATTTGTGCAATTGAAATTTAACTTCGTTGTTACAAGACAGTATCGTTCTTCTGAAGAAATCATAATCGCCCTAATTCCATGCCCCAAGGCATTAGCAGCTCCATCAAAGTACATTCTCTAACATTTTTCCACATGCTCCCCTTCTTTCAGTTGAAAAATAGTCATTAAGTCTTCATCAAAAAATTTCAGCTTCATCGACTCATACTCTTCAGTAGCACGATCTGTAAGAAATTCTGCTATAACATCCCCTTTTATTACTTTTTGGCTCACATATATAATATCATATTCCGAGAGCATTACTTGCCATCTAGCGATTCTTCCAGACAAAGAAGGCTTCTCGAATATATACTTAATGGGATCCAGTTTCACTATGAGCCACGTAGTGTGATAGAGCATATACTGTCTGAGTCTTTTGGCAGTCCACGCTAATGCACAACACATTTTCTTTAATGAATAATACTTGGATTCATATTTCATGAACTTTTTACTCAGATAGTAAATAGCTCTCTCTTTTCGGCTAGCCTCACCTTGCTGCCCTAGCACACATCCCATTGAATTTTTACATACGATTAAGTATAAGATTAAAGGTTTCCCTAGAACAGGTGGCACCAATACTGGAGGGTTCGATAAATATTGCTTAATTTTATCAAATGCCTCTTGACATTCTTCATTCCATTTTTTAGGATTATCTTTACGGAGAAGCTTAAATATTGGATCACATTTATAAGTAAGCTGAGAGATGAACCGAGAAATATAGTTCAATCTCCCCAGAAAACCTCAAACTTTTTTGGGTGTGCTGAGAGGTGACAAATTTTGGATGGCCCGTATCTTATCGGGATCAATTTCAATTCCTCTTTCACTGACCACAAAGCCTAGTAACTTTTCTGACTTTACCCCAAAAGTGCACTTAGCTGGGTTTAATTTGAGCTGAAATTTTTTTAATCTTTCAAATAACTTTTTGAGGCTAGTAACATGATCTTCATCCTCACAAGACTTTACAATCATATCGTCTACATACACCTCAATCTCTTTATGCATCATGTCATGAAAGAGTGTTACCATGGCCCTTTGATATGTTGCCACAGCATTCTTTAACCCAAAAGACATGATTTTGTAACAAAAAGTTTCCCACATGGTCACAAAAGTAGTCTTTTCCATATCATCTGCAGCT